GTAAACTGTCAGATCTTGTCTTTGCTCTGAATGGTCATACTTTCTTTCTTAATCCTCAACTCAAATCCTGCTAAATTAGTTTCTCTAGTATTTTAATATTTTTAAAGGAATATCCTCTTTTTATCTTTCTTGCCTAGAAAACAGTAGCTAAATGATTTGCCACAAAGGGTATTTTAGTTCTGATTTTCTAACAGTGCAGTGAGTCTGTTTCAAGTGACCATAAATACCTAATTTTTTTCTTTCTCTCAGCAAATGAGACCAAATGTCAGTGATGCACAAAATGCTTCAAACAAAAAAGGTCTCTTCAAATGCTGGGGTTTGCCCTCTTTAATACTTTTTAAAATAGATTACCCAGTCATTCTCTGGAGAAAAAAAATTAAAAAAGAAAAAAAAAATCTGTTCTAATAATGGGATTTCAAAAGAACTTATGTGGGCTTTAATAACTATTGAGTTCAAAGTAGGTTATCATTGTTAATGACTAATTTTCTAATAATGTCCCACTGCACTATTAAAAGCCTGACTCTAAGTTTTGTCTACAGAATGCAAAAAAATAAAATTGTCATTTTTTTGACCAATTCTAGTTTGCCAATTTGAACAGTGAAAGCAAAGAAGCCAAAAGCATTCTTAATCTGTTATTAAAAATAGTAATTTAAATACGTTTGAATAAATATTTAAAGTTTTCCCTATTTTAGTTTCTTAGCCTTTCCAGAAAGTTGTGACAGAAAGAAAAGTTTTAAAAAAGATACAATAAAAGCTACCAAGGTGAAACATACTTTTCTGAAAAAATATTATGTTGCATCTGTACCAAAATCACTGTCCAATTCTTACAGAAAGAAGATTAATTTTCCAGAAATAGCTATTCATGCCTTCTTGAATAGAATCCTTAATGAAAGTCTTATTTTTGCTGATGTATCCAACTCAGGCCAAAGTAAAATGACAGTCATGAAATGCAAGATATGCTTAAACACTCAGAGTCACTGGAAGCAAATATATCTTTGATTCAGACTCAATGTACAGGAAAGGAAAGTACTCTCAGAATTATGAAAATATTGTAAATATTTTACGAAAAACATTCTTAAAAAAACAAGCAGTACTTTGTTGGAATACGATTTTATGAAAACATCACAGAACATTTCTAATGTAAATTAAAATTTGTTTTTGAAATGTATCTTTAGAACTGAACTGTACACTTCTAAAAGCAAAAAAGAGAACACTAGTTACTGAATCCTATATAGGCAAGATGGGACTTGTTGGACAAGTGTCCAGTCACTCACTCCCATTTGTCCAAACTATTTTACATACTTACAGAATTACAAAGGATTCTTACTCTGATTTAATGTTTCTGTTTACTGTCATAAGGACAAGACTTGGCAACCAGTCCACGAAAGCAAGCTCTGATTTACCTCAAAAGGAAAGTTTTCACTCCCCTCAAACAAAATTCAGAACAACAGATAGCACTTAAGAGGAACAAATCAGGAAAATAAAAAAACCGCAATATATAATTTGTGTAGTTATTCAATTTTTTAAAAAAGTACATATAATCATAGGGTTAACATTTTCAGTTGTCAAATAAAAAAAAAATATATTCAACCTAATCACCTAACCAGGTGATTTTCATATCATGGTAACTTGGAAAACATAGTAGCTTTCCAGATATTTACAGTGTCAACACATTTTAGGGAACAAACAAGTGCTTGATTAATACTAAATGAAAACTACAGAAACAGGGACATTTTTACTATCAGTCTTAAAAATCAATCAGCAGGGTTGGTTTAGATTTTGAGAAGAGGGAATTAAGTCCATGAAAAACAAGTATATTATTTCCCATCTCCTCCTCCTACTCAGTGAAAGCAAGTTTATTTATCTAAGTACAGCAAGAAGGTCTTCACTTCCTAAGCTTACAGGAGAAAATGTACCACATTTTCATTTGTTGTTTTTGTTGTTTTCTTCTTTTTACCATCACCTTTTCCAAACACACCAACTAACATAAACACCAAATATTTTCTTTATGATAAGACTGCAACCCTCCTTCTCCAATATGGGATTCCCAGTCATGTTTGTCACATCCAACTTTGCGTACTTAGGGCTATTACATTCTCAAAGCCAAAAAAAAAGAGATGTTTCAGAACAGAACTTGGTCCTCATATGTCCCCATCACCATGTTTTGACCCCAAGCTCTCTATACCTTGTAATATACCATCCCAAAGCACAATGCCTCTGCATGCCCATCAGATGTTCCTCAGCTCTCTGTCCCCAAAAGCCCCAACCTCTCAATTCAGAGCCCTTCATCCCCCAATATACTGCAACAAACTTCTTTTCCTATGCAGCCTCTAATGTTTTGGCACATCAAAACAATCAATCATTCATTTACCAGATTGAGATCTCAGTCAACAAAAATTCATGGAAGGTCTCCACTGGGAAAAAAATAAGATGTGCTATACAAAAGATGATGCATGGCTGCCCCAAATATGTGAACATGTTAAATATAATATTTCCAATTAGTACTGCTGGATTCTGTCATCACCTCTTAGCTAAGGATGGCAGCAGCCTGATAAACTTAGGCTTCCAGACAACTCTTGGCTTTCCAAATATAAAGAGCATTGAAATGGGGCGAACTTTTTCTTTTCGTGCTCTGGGTCTTGCAAGTACTCCCTCTCCTTGCACATCAAGCTGTCTTCTACAGAAGCTCCTAAAATAGGCATATAGTCTGTCAGGCTTACAAACCTACCAATCTATACAGTGCTAAAGTAGTGAATTCTCCAGATAACCTTTTCATAACAGAGCCACCAGTTTAGTCAAATTTTGTTTAAACATTTGAAAAGTGCTCTAAAAACAAGCAACTGTTTGGATAGAATGTAAATTAACATTAGTATGACAGAGAGTTCTTAACACCAAATATCCACATGACAGCAAATTTTGAAAGAGGATTTGTAGCACCACTTCTTTTGAGGAAGTGTCATAAAACCCAATAAATGTGCTTTTTTTCTGCCAAGACATTTAAACACAGTTTAATGCATGCACTCTTGCCTCAGAAAAGCTGTAGCTAGCACACCACCTCTGGAAGACTGCCTTCATAACTAGAGTAAGCAGAGACAAAGAGAGTACAGTACAACAAGGTAGTCATCTGCATATTTGCTACTGTTCAGACACCTTCCATCTGGAATGTCAGAACTATTCCAAAAAGGCAGTCATGCCTCTGAGACCTAAAGTGTGAAGATCACATAGTAGCGGATTTCTGTTCTATCCCTTCTCTTCATTTTATTAATCTCAGTGGATAACTGTAAACATTAACAGTTAGAACTGTCTTCCTGGTTGACTAACCAGGAAAAGATGAACAGAAAACGTAAGTGGCACAAAACCCACTACACCTATGTTGTAACTCCATTTGTATAACATGGTAGAGTGCAGTAAAAGTTTAAATACAAACTTTCATTATTACAAGTGGAAAAATAATGACTTTCCAGTCTAGGTTGGTTTTGTGTTTTGGTTTGGTTTGGTTTTGGTGGGGTTTTGGTTTGTGTGTGGTTTTTAGGGGTTTTTTTCCCTGCATGTTTTATTTTTCTATTAATTGGTATGAAAAATTACCTCCTCTTTCAGTGCATGTTTCTTCTGCTCCAAACAGATTTCTTTAGCACGCATCAACTGCAGCGTCTCCTTAGAAACTGCATACTGAAGTTTTTCCATACGTTCCACTGCTGCTGCCCATGCTGCCTTACCAAATTTTTTCTGGTCTGCTCGCATTCGATCGTACACAGCTACAAAAGGGGAGAAAAGGCAGACAGCTTATCAGTCTGATCCTCAGATCACTAGTAATTCTACTGCAGAAACAACACACACATTTGTATCCAAAAGCATACAAAGTTCCCCTAGCAGAGAGCAGCCATTCTATGGAGTACTAACCTTCAAATCCAGGATGCAAGTACTCCTGTACTTCATGTAAAATCTAATTAGCTATTGGTTGATAATCTTATCATTATAATGCCAGGTTTTGTTATCCACAGAGGGACCATTCTGAATACACAGTACCTGAACACTTGAATCACTGGTTCAGAATTCTTAATAAAAATATCTCATCAATACTACCATGTGGTCTTAAACTGCATCTCAATTTTTCCCCAGTTCTGAAAGCCCCAATTATCAGCTACTAAAGTCTCCAGTTTTCCTTGATAACTTCTATAGTGCAGTTTTAAGTTTGAACAAATCTGTAGAGTGAAAAAAAATTACAATTTAAAACAAAAATTTCAGCTTGACCTCAAGTGCAATTCTGTAAGATTACCAAATTAAAGAACATCTTTTAACTCAAAATACTTCATAAAATAAATACAAATTAACTAAAATTATAATCTGATCTTAATATGCAGGGATGAATGAGAATCTTTTTGGGAAGACTTCATCATAGCAGGGATCCCCTGCCTGATACAGATTTTCTGTTCTTGAGTCCCAGACATCATCTAGGCTGGCACACGTGAGATTTTCACCATTTTTAATATATAGAACAATCACATGATACTGTACACTTAGCCATGAAATCAAAGGGATAGCATTCAGTCCCCAGCTCCTAGAAGATATTACAAGATATTACTTTTAATAATAAAAAATTCCCTTATATTTCATGCATGTTTCCTCTACCATCTGTTAGTATTTTGGTGTGTAAGACCACCCTGTGATCAGCAGGAGGCCAAAAAAACCCCCAAACATAACAAAACAGGCAAGCAACCTGTATACAAAAGGTCTGTGGTTGTAAACAGTCTCCAGGCATTTCATTTCCCAGTGTTCCCCCCCCCCATCCTGACTGCTGTACATAAAAAAATCATGTGAACAAATCAAAAATAACTGTAACAACAAATAACTGTAGGTATATGTTCTTGATCAACTAATGGGGTATTTTAGTTGCTGCCTTTGTCATACTAGAAAAGCAACTAAACTGATTAAATACATTTACAATTTGCTCTAATTAAATTCATTCCAACATGCTTGAATGGGTTTAGTCACTTTCTCAAGATAAGGTGGAGTTTCATGTGGTACTTAACTTGGGTTGTCACCCAAAAGGAATCATTTTGCAGTGACTGCTTCTCTTGAGGCAGATCTAGCAGTCATGCAGGGAGATAAGAGGAAACCTACCCATCAAAAAAGATTTTCTCCCAAGGGTACAACTCATTTATCTAGTTGCACAATCATTATCACCAAGGCAAAGAAACAGGAATCTGAAGTCATGCAGGGAAGACGGTGGGACATAAACTCTATCAGTGGTAGCCCACAGTCAAACTAAAAGAGCTGACATGAAACCACATCCTGAGGTATGTTTGCCCTAATAAACTGATTATTTACATTAAAATGGTACAAGGATGAGAGTGCAAATGTACATGACAAGTGATATGACATGGTTTTATGGCATCAACTCTTCAGTAAAACTGCCGTATTGTTCAAGCAGAGAAATGCCAAGGTTAGATCCCTGAAGCTTTCTGGACAATAGAGCAGCTGTCACGGAGTAGTTATACTGAGCTGTTACTTTATATTTAGAGCCATGAAAAACATTACTGAAAGGCAGGGGAGACAGGAAAAGGAAATGAATTGAAAAGTAATAAACACTTACTATGGTGGTCTGCCATATCCCGTACAGAAGACAGAATCCATCAGGGACTCTATGGTCCCTAAATCCTTTGCAAATGTACAGTGCAGCTAACACAATCACATTGAGAAAGTGGTTGTGAAACTTTTATCTAAAATTTCTATTCTGCTTACTTCTGATGATGTTCTGAAAAGACTTATTTGTGAAACATTTGAATAGACACAGAAGATAAAAACAAATGGGAATGACAACTGTGTTTTTCTCATCAAAGACTGATGAAAAAAATAAATAAATTACAGTACAATACAGAACATGATAAATATTAAATAAATTTTTAAAGATCTTTCATTTGATGAATAGGATAGCAGAAAATAACTACCTTTCTGTGTTTTAGCAGTTATTTCAAAGTATTTAACTGTAAGATCTTGAATAGAAAGCACAGCCATGTGGGCTTTTCTCTGCCAATCAGCATCTTCTTTTTGCAGACTCTCAATTCTTCTAGGGCCTAGGTAGTCATTCTCTATTGAGATCTGAAAATGAATCAGTCCATAATTAATAACACAATTAATTGTTACTATTTTGCCAACAGCAACCAGTTTCAGGGTGGATAAGAAAGAAAAACAAATAGGAGAGAAAACTACCAAAAAATCACCATGGCTTCTATTCTAACATTTTCTCAAATTCACTTTTTGGTCTGGAAGTTCCTCATTTGGACGCAAAGTTCTGGAGAAAGTGTGGTCTAACAGAAGAACCTCTCATCTCACAAAGAGATAACATCACCGATCTACAGCTTCTTTTCTAGTAATCACTTTCTCAAAAAAAATATTCCAGCTATTCTTCCTAAAACCCCTCTATATTGTCTTTGAGAAGAACCCAAGCCTCATGGTAAAATTGGCTAAGATAATTTTCTTTTCCTGACAATGAAATTAGCTTTTGAACACTTTCATGTTTTGCAAGATTTACTTCAGGTAATGCTTTGAAACTGAGAAAATTATGACAGCTTTCACAAAAATGGCTGTCAGAAAGCAGACAAAAAGAGGAAGAAACAGCAGAAGCCATTAACTTCAACACATCACGTAAACATCTATTTCCATTAGCTATTGCTTCAGAGTAACAGAACATAAAAGAATATACTTCTAAACCACATGGATATGTTTCTGAAGGAAAACAAATTAGTTCTTCAGAGGAAACAAACTGAAAGGAGGTCACTAATCTAGCATGTGAGCAAGTGAGAATGAGTAAGAGGCAAGACTCTTCTACTGGAAACATTCTTCTCTGGAAAAGTTCAGAAATTGTTGTTGAGTTTTAAAAGAAGTAAAGTAAGTTTACCTGCAACTATAGGATTTTGATATGTTTTATATAGTATACATCTCCTAAATAAAGAAATAGTCCTCAAGGATCTTTAATACTTCCCAGGTTCTTACTGGACAGCTGGGACAAGAATGGACCAGACTGACAGAAATAGACTTAGCCTGGGTCACATTATAGCTTAGGCAGGGATCTGTCACGTCTCTCCAGCTCCCTTCGTTATCCTTCTCCTAGACGGACTTGTAATAGGCAGAAAAGGAGAAAAATACGAGATGTAACAACACCAGGTCGATTAATTATAAGAACAAAAAGAATTAAGTTGAGGAAACACTACAGATGGCAGTGGCAATACACAAAAAGGAAACAGCTTCACATATAAAGGAGTGTTTCAGCTCACTCAGCTACCTTCCTTCGACACATTCCAGGAGGCCAAACAATCAATTGCAACCACAGCCTGCTGGATGTACTAGCAATAATGCATGCATTTCAGCTTCATCATCTGTTCAGGGACTTCTCAGAGTTAGTCTTACAGGTTTTATTTTAACTATGCTCCCAGCTGGTAACACAAACCCAGCACTATTTCCCAAAATAATTCCATATGTAAAGCCCTAAATATACTAAGTGAAAGCACTCAGCTGTAAAAAGGGCTTTACAGTTTTACTGATTTTATTGTCACAAAACCTGACATGGACTTTAATGCCAATATATGTAAACTAACTTATGTTGGATGGTCTTGATTCCTTAAAATATCTGGAGCCTGGAACTAGCAATACAAACTACAAGGGTTCTAATTATCTTAATCAGATACAGGAGAATAACACATACAATTCAACAAAGACAAAGACTGCAAATAAAGTAACAAACTAAAAAGCAAACGATGCTACAACATACAGAAAGAAGACTGAACAATAATGGCATTGTACTGCAAAGTGCAGTGGTGAATGTTTTTTCCAGAGCTATGGAGAATGCTGAAAACTTAAGCAGTATTTGGAAGAGAAAAAACATCAAAGATTAAGGTTATGACAAGAGTAAGAGGAACTACTGGGACTATTCAACTGTTTTTTTCCCCAGACACATAAATGTCCATATAAAGGAGCATTAAAACCACCAAGTATTTTTAATTGACAGAATTAAGGCTAAATTGTGCATCCTGAGTTATGCCTTCCTTATTTATCCACATGTACATCATAAAAACTTTATTTACATTTAAGCTTCATTGACTGAGCTCCAGGCTAAAAAAAGCAAAGTTAACCTTGAAAACAAAAGCTTTATTTAAAAAAAATACGTATTTTTTAATCAGACATATTCTACTAGTTATTTGAAAACTTTGTTTAATCAAGTGAGTTTCAGTGTTAAAGTAAGTGGGCTTGAGTGTTTCCGGATGTTCTAGATTCCATTTGTGGATGAAAAGGATTGGGTTGATTTTTAAATCTTCAGTTAAAAAAGCTTAATATATACAATAGACACAATGTTAAGCACATCCATTGAGAATTCACCAAATATATTTAACAATTTTTATACACGGATATACTGAAAAAAGGAAAATAATGACACAAGTATTAGACAAGAAGAAATCAGATTAAACACATGTAAGTAACCATGAATAGGGATATTGAAAATAACTAACAACTGCAAATAATGCCCTACAAGATCCAGTAGAAAGTCAGCCAACATCATGATAGCTTACAAAGACTGTTTTTTCAGAACACTACTGAGAAAAAGGTACTAGATTTCAATCTACTTACAGATTTAGGTAAACATGCACTTGAAAAATTTACACTCTCACGATCAAGTTCTTCTGTCTTTGAAGCCCCTTTCCTTGCCCTCCACAGCCTGCATAACATTACATCAAAGTCTCTTCCTTCCTTCTCCTTCCCTAGGTCCAACACTAAAAGAAAAAATCATACATGTCCAGTTTTCACCCTCCTTTAAGCCTTGCAGGGACACACAATTTAGTATTTTGTGCATGTTTAACATCCTTCCAGAGTTCCATCAGGATGTCTTTTTGAATGGATGCTGATTCTGCATCTTTCCACACCATTTCCCCCCCCATACCCTAATCACAGGTCAGATCCAAGGCTGTTCTGGTCCTTCCTTCCAACTGCAATTACTACTAGCACTTGGAGAAAAAGAAAAAAAAGAAAAAAGCCACAAGGCATGGACGCATTGATAATTCCCAACTTCTGTTACTAAACAGCTTAGAGGCTTCGAGAATATCTAAGGAACCTGAAGGTGCACAAGTCCATGGGACCTGATGAGATGCATCCAAGGGTCCTGAGGGAACTGGTGGATGAGGTGGCCAAGCCACTCTCCGTCATATTTGAGGAATTGTGGCAGTCCAGTGAAGTTCCCACTGACAGGAAAATGGGAAACATAACCACCATTTTTAAAAAGGGAAAAAAGGAAGACCTGGGGAACTACAGGCCGGTCAGTCTCACCTCTGTGCCTGGCAAGATCAAGGAGCAGATCCTCCTGGAGACTCTCTCAGGCACATGGAAAATAAGGAGGTGACT